GCAGATAGCGGCGGAGGCGGCGGCTTAAAAGGGCCTCCAGCCCGTCCTGTACCCCCACCCTCACCCCACCCCGAACCCTGCCTCGCCGCCGTATCTCTGATCTGAAGAACCGGAGGAGCGCCGTGGAGTCCTAGTCCGTTCCCGCCTGCTCCCTTCTACCCCCGACCCCGCCGCGATGAGCCGCCGCAGGTATAATTCCTCCTAACCCCTCTTAAATCTCTCTGCCTTGAGGACGCCTGCTGTTCGGTGGCTGCTTGAGTCGGATTGTCCATTTCCGTGCTCCAAGTTCAGTTATCTGTGCTTCGATTTGATGCTTTTACTTGTTGCCTACGACTAGTTGCTATGCGCGATCTAGCTATTCGGTGCTTGCTTGCACGCGTCTCATGGTGTCACAGCGCACAAATGACAGCAGAGCAGAGCAGAAGCTTAGAGTTCAGTTTCTTATGCGGGGCTGGGCCGGTTCGGCCGGCTTGAGTTTCATGCTTTCGCTCATCGCGTAGCCATCCGGCTACGGATTGCTCTATGGGACCTAACTTTTTGGTGCTTGCATACATGTCATGGCGTTGCATCCTAGCTAGATTGATAAGGAACAGAGTAGATGCTACAGTTTTCGTCTGGTGGGATGGGAGCAATAGTGTCTCAGTAATAGCTGTCTATGTCTGCCTTGTCTAGAGAATTCCTGGTAGCTAGGTTAGCAAAGTAGATCACATACTTGCTGAGCATGATTGGTTGGCGGCTTGGCGCCAAGCGCTAGATGGCCGTTGGCGCGTGAAAAGGTCGGGCTGGTCCCTGCAGCTTCATATTAGTTGATGCGTCCGCATCTCGTGTTTGAGTTATTAAACATGCTCTAACCAGTTATTTAATATGCTTGCATTGTCTGGGGACAACCTTGTGTGATTTGATGCATGGCATAGTATTACAGTGCCGAAACGGTCGAATATTCAGTATGTTAGATCTTTCCTTCGGTTCCAGTATTAGTGCGTACTAATTAGTTCTGGTTGCCTGCATAGCCGTTTACGCTCGCTACACGACAGAGCAAGTTACGTACTTGCTAAACGTGTTTGGTCGGTGCTGAGTGTTGGATAACTGTCCATTTATGTGCTCAGATTTCACCCTTCTGCGTTCAAGCTTGTCCATGCTACTCCAGATAACTGCTTTTATTTGTCAACCATGCCTTGCACATCAAAGTTAATATGTATGCATCTAACTACTACATACTACATATTTCCATATTCTGGAAACAACCTTATATGCTAACCATTTGAACAACAACAACAACTAAGCCTTTAGTCCCAAACAACCTTATATGATAAGGGTTTGAAGTCGAGTAAAAATAAATAGTTTTCTTTAGTGCAAGTATTGATGTGGTAAAAATCAACTTTGAGTGCCTGTCTAGTGCAGTGCGGTCTGCCAGCTGGATAACATAGTAAGTTGCATACTGACTAAACAAATGTTACAAGTTTGATGTGCTGAGTGCTACTGACTAACGCTGCTTACCTAATAGGCACAACAAGCTTTGTGCACAAGCTGTCATCATCCATCCATTCTCAAGACTAATATGGCGATGCCATAAGGTGCTTTTAATGCCATGGGATTATACTATGGCCTTGATGTTGCTGCATTCGGTATGTCCGTTATGGAGATTCCGAGAGCAACAATGGCAGTTTACAACCAGGCCACAATGCTAATCTTTGTCGCAGCAGCAGCAGCAGCAGCAGCATCATTAGCTTCTCTCCACCATTGTTCGCTGCTGAGCCCTTATGTGGCCGCACCAGCAGTATTCCTGGTTGGAGCAACGATGTGAAGCTGCATGGGTAAAGAGTCACAAAGGCATGATTATTCTTTAATAATTGTGGCATTGCACCCATTATTATTCAAGAAAAAGAATTTTTTCCCTAGACTGAATAGAATATCGTATTCCAGACAGCAAGATCTACCAACTCTTACCTTTTTAGTCATTTACGTATCAGGTCATATGAGCTGGCAAATAAACTTTATTGCTATTAAATGGGAAAGCACCACTGGCAACAGCACCTTTCTCCTAGATACTAATCTTTAGCATCTCTAAGCGTCTAAGACATGTTTTAACAATCCATCATCCATTTACAAGAAGTCATTTCTATCAACGTAAAGGTTCAAGTTTAATGTTTCAGGACAGATTGATGCCACGAATACTCAACTAGTTTTTTTTTTCAGAGAAACAGAACATAATTATATTTAATTCATATTCTTACAAGTTTCCATGCGCCATCAGTATTTATTGGTGAATTTAGTCCTGAAGAAACTCACATCCCTTTGTGACTTGCAACTTACTACTGCCAATGGTAATCCTTAATAGTTAACACTTCATCAGGAGAACAAAATGAGCACTGATAACATCTCCAGGTTGTTTTTACTTGTTAGTTGAAAGGCTTACTGAATCATTGAGCTAATATTGGTGTAGATTTCTCTTTTCTTTTCTGGTGATATCTTTCTATGGTTTGGTTCTGCATGGTGTGTCATGAAAGAAATACATAGATTTGTCACACAATACTTTTTTTTCCGCCACCCATGCTCCACCTCTGTACATATCTTTATTCCGTTTTTTTCTCCTTATTTCCCAGGTCCATTTCACTTACCCTTGTGGATAACATGGCTCGTTTTGAAGTTACTTTTGTGCTAGCATAATCTAACTAGCTAGGTTAAGCTATACTCTAAATCTGTAAAGAAAGTCAATACTTAGTTTTAGTTGAGCTTTGTGTAAAATATGGAAAGGAAGACTGGAATGGTACTGGATGAACATGTCCTGAAAGCTACTGATCGCAAGAGGAAACATGAGTCGTCTGTGAAGAGTACTGGCACAGATGATTTTGCTGAGGTCTCTCAGCATGCTGATGGTTCTGCTGTCCTTAAGAAGTCTAAAATGACCTCCTCTGCTGGTGATATTCTGGAGTGCTATAAGAACTTCAAGACAAGCGGTTCGCCCGTGCGCGTGCTTTGTTACCACCAGGGTAAATGGAGGGACTTTCCAGAGCATGTTGTGAATCTGGTACAGCAGGACTTCCAGTTGAAGAGGCCAATTACTAATGCTGTATTGAAGAACCAGCAAGTCCTGTTGGACTTTATGCACATGGTCTGCATTGATTCTTCGATGACCACAAACAAGCCAATAGCATGGATTGATGTTCATGGTAACCGCTTCTTTCCAGAGTTATGTGCTGGACTGGTAACATCTAAACCATCTCAGCATGGGAAAAGTGACCCCAGTGGTAAATCTAAAGCTGGTGAGTGTGCTGGGACTTTGATTTTGACAGCTGAAGCTGAAAGCTCGAGTTCAGATTCTGTTGATGCAGTACTCCCTCATGCTAAGAAGGTTAATAACATACTGGAGGAAGGACAGGAGGTACATAATTATGCTGCTGTTGAAAATAAAGCTGGTCCTGCAATCTGTTTGAATGAACCTGCTAGTGGAAACATACATGCTGCTACTTATAAGCAGAAAATTGGCCAACCTGTTGATTCAGCTGTGCGCAAGTTATTGCTTGAAGGGGCAGGCCAACCTTTTAGTGAAGAAAATATTATTGGCATCTACAGAACTCCACTGGTAGATCAGCAAGGGCGGGCTCGCTTCAATCTTTTCCAGAAGGAACTTGAGGCCACCAAAATGCATCGTGGCAACGCAAATGTGCGCTACGCGTGGCTACCTTGTTCCAAGGATACTATGGAGGAGATGATGATGCGTGGTGTTCTGGAAGTTACAAAACCCATGCTGGGGCCAGTGTATGGCATTGGTACACATCTTGCTCCAGCGAACTGTGCCCAAACCTGGTAAATACTTGTTCTGGTTCTTATTTATGCATGTTAATCTTAACTTTAGGATATACATCCATCTGTTCAAACCTGGTAAATATTTGTTTGTATATATGCATCTTTAGATTTGCTGCTGGATAGCTCTTGCTTTGAATATTCAGTATTTCTTATGATCTTACTTGATTAAATATCCAGTAGTTTCTTATGATCTTACTTGATTATCTTTTCACAGCGCTAGCTACTCAGATATTGACGAAAATGGCATCATGAGGATGATGCTGTGCCGTGTTATAATGGGTAATGTTGAGGTTGTACTTCCTGGATCAAAGCAATTCCAGCCAACCAATGAAAGATTTGATAGTGGTGTGGATGATCTTCAAAAGCCAAAGCACTATATCATATGGGATGCTAATGTGCATCGACACATCTATGCTGAATATGCTGTTGTTATCAAAGCACCTTCCATGACCAATGGTACTACTACAGCCACTCTCATGGTTCTTGATTTTATCTGTCTTTCCATTTTTCATTTTTGCTTCTGTGTTGTTTACACAAGAGAATTCATTTGATATTACTGCAGAATACTTGGCTAGAGAAGATACTGCATCCAACATATCTGAGATAAGAAATTCTGGTTCAGCAGAAAGTGTAATCAAGGTATGCTTATTATGTTTAACTGGTTACAATCATATCCTAGCTTTGATACACATTGTGTCTTGAACGGGCAGCATGTTAATACCCCACACGTATTGACTGCTGCATGTTTGGTGTGTATTAGCTAGGTGTATTCAGATAGGTTATTATCTACCATCTTATGGCCGTTGGCCTTCTTTCATCTAAAAAATATGATTAAGCATAGATTTGGAAGTTGTTGGCGTGCTTGTTAAGGATTGTCATAATTTGCTTCCAAGCTTGCGATGGAACTGGGCTTAGTTGTACTTATATGCACTCCATATGGATGGACTCCGCAGTTGGTACTTAATTTCGGTGCGATATTTTACTTGGGAACTTTCAGCTTGTCATATTTTTTGTTTGTTTGTTTGTTGTGATCAGGACGATAGTTCCGAAACCATGGCATCTCCAGCTGATAAACAACAAGCACCCAGGTTTGGGCGTGCCCCAACTCGAAGGCCTCCTACTTCACCCTGGATGCCCCTCCCAATGCTTTTCGCTGCCATCTCCACAAAAGTTCCTCGTTCTGACATGGATGTAATCCATGGACACTATGAAGAATTCAAGGTTGTTATAACGCTGTTTTCCTTGTGAGATACGTACTTGGTTACAGTTACTGTTCCCAGTCACTGTGCTAAATGTGTTGTGCCTGTTGACGATGTTGAAACAGAGGAGAAAGATAAGCAGGCCCGAGTTTGTGAGACGGCTAAGACAGATCTTCGGCGACAAGCTGCTGGTTTCTACAGTAATGAGGCTGCAACCTAAGGTACTTGAGACCATTAACGCTAATCCTCCATATCGTGTGCATATGCATTCAAAGACTTATTTATCATATGCAGAGGATCCTGTTTTGTGGTGCATAAGTGATTTTGTCTTCTTCATCTGGCAGTAGCATAGGCTTTGCTAAGCACTTTGCTCGTGTTGTCCGTGACTGTTGCAGGTAGTGGCACCCATGGCAGGTGCTGAAGTGCTACCAAGAGGAGCACCCGGCACGGGAGGGAGCAGCACCTCCTGAAGTAGCAGTTCGTCGAGATAACAGCTCGTGGAGCCGCTCCTAGTGGAGAGAGATAGAGAGAGCACAGGGGAGGCCATTAAGTTATGTGTCGGTTGGTTATAGACAAAAACTAGTCGGTAAACTGCGAGCAGCCTGTTAAGTTGGTGTAGCTTTGTTTGGTTCCATGTGGTTGGTCTCTTGGCGTCAGTCGGTAACTGGAAACACTCTGTTGTAGCCGATGCTGTTGTGTGCAAATCTGTGTTGCAGCTTGTACTGTGCCTGTGCTGTACTTGGTAGTTTTTTTGTTTTTAATTTTGAGCTGATGAACCTAGCATAGAATATATGTAGACCTCACCTGAGGTTGAGTTTCAGCTGGCTGGCCCTAGATTTTCTCTCTTTGAGCTGACGAGCCTAGCATAGATTTCTTTTTTCAAAACGGAGTCTAGCACATAGAATTGATAGAAGTGATGGTGAGCTTGAGTTGGCTCGTGTGATCTCCCCTTGGGGGCCATTGCTTGTTGGGCTCCGGTTCTACAAACTATGATCGACGGCTCTTTTCTTTTGATGAAACATGGTGAATGAAGTTTTGGTAAGACAAAATCCAGAGTTTCCTTGTTTGAGTATGCTGCTGTCTACTTAATTTACCCTTGCTAGACTCCGTTTATATATTTTTGTTTATTTATGGAGAACAGAAATGAAAAGAGGATGCATGCCAGCGGTTTATCCTAGTAACAAGATGGGATTGTTAGGGAGTTGGAAGTTGGAACAAGATGATACCTTGGTGGCTTGGCATCTTCAATACAACCACACCAAGTAAAAGAAGCAACCAGGCATGCTTTTCTTTTCCAGATCGCACAGCAGAAGATAGTACTACATTTTGGTTCCATCTCCTCCTCACTAAACAAGTCACCAACACATGCTTTGTTTAATTAACAAGTAAGCAATGCATGAGTGAGAGTAAACAACATGACTTATCATCGATCGAGTCCTAGTACTCCCTCCGTCCCAAAATTCTTGTCTTAGATATCTAGACAAATCTAAGACAAGAATTTTGGGACGGAGGGAGTATAAGATATGCAAGTGCATACACTGGACTTGGGTACAAGAAAGGGAGAGAGAGGCAGACCCAATTGATCAACACCATCCCGTTTCTCTGCTTCCAGCTAGAACAAACTCTTGAGGCAGACCCAATGGATGATCTAGCACATTCAGTTTTTCTTCATGTCATTGTGTTTTATTTATTTGTGTTCCAACCAAATGCAATGTAGTTTCTGTATGAATTTGGGGCTCATTCTCAGCTCTAGATATTACCCCATCCATTCCAAATTAACTTATATACAGTATTTGACAGGCCTATATATATATATATCTGCATTTAAAACACCAAATTAGTTCCATACAGTATTTGACAGGCCTATGAAGATATATATATATATCTGCATCTAAAACACCAAATTAGTTCCATTAGATTCTTCATAAAAAATACATTTGTAAAATATTAGCATCTCCCTGTAGACTATATTTTATTAAATACAAGAAAGATTGAGGACAAAACCAGACCTTTTATTTTCCGAGAAAAGGCAAATGATATATGTTAAGTAGCACAAACCCTTACAAAAACACCCTTATAAAGATATATTTATGAAACTCCCTCCCCTGTTCCAAAAGCAGCTCCATCCACGGCGTCCCCGTGCCACCACGGCCCTCCCTTCTCTCTCTCCGCCGCCACCCCCTCCAGCGACGGTGCACTCGGGCCCTCCCTTCGCCTACACCGGCGCGGGCCCCATACCTATCTCGATCCATGGCGGCGGCAGCGAGGCGCCGCCGATCTGGGCCCAGAATTCAAGCAAACTTCTAGCATTGCCACAAAACTATGGAAATACTGTGCATACTTGGTGGTCTTTGCATCAAAGCTTCTTTCTGGGCACCACTACTATACAAGAAGCAAGTTCGATGCAGCTGCCGTAGAAGCAGCTGCATTCCTGGGAAAGTCAACGAACAAGTACCAGGACACGAAAAATTTAGTTGTATCAGAGCCGACCAAGACGATCTTTGAGAGTGGCGTCAAACTAGTTGTATATTCAGAAGGTTGATCCAAGCACTGCTGATTCGAAGATCATTTGTGTGTCCCTACTGAAAAAGAAGTAGTACATACTACTTTCCTATTGTTGCACATATCTGCTGCTCTGCTGGTATTTTTCTGAAAGTTCAGTTTCAGTTCAAAATGGAGTCAATTCCCCTGCTGCTTTTTAAAAAAAAAATTAAATTAAATTTGGCATGTGCTAACTACCATGCCATAGGCAGTAATAGTATTTCTTGGCCAGATAGATATTTACAGTTGGCACTATTTTCCTAGGCACCCAGCGACGGAATGAAGATGCTTCTTGATTAACGAAAGAAACACACATGCATCAGCTGAAAAATATCCCGAATTCTGCAGATATGTAGAGATGTACTACCTAATCCAAGGATATTACAAAGAATTCAACGTTGCTAATATTGCTTTGCCTTTTGAGATGCTCAGCAGTTACAGTCAGTTACTACGTCCAATCGTGATGCTAACTGTTGATTTGCCTGTTACTGTACAAGGCAAGGAGATTTGTTGTGTGTTGCATACATACTCCAACATCTCTCGTCTTTTTTATTTTTTCAATGCTTGTAAGATCTCTTGTCTACCATCAATGTAAAGAGAGGATAGATGCGTTTCCTAGTCTAGGTTTTATCACAGCACATATGGTTTGGTAGAATCGTGGAAGATTTAAAGAAATGACAAAACTGAAGCAAGAGATGTCCTTGACCCATATCATTCAGGAACCACAACGAAGAGCGGCACCGTATCTATCTTACAATCTCACAGGCACAAGCACATTTTCTGTCAGGAATTCTGGCATGCACAAGCTCATATATAGGAGTATTATTTATTCCAAATCTCTGCAAATTTAAATCATACAGTACTCCATGGGCGTCTAGTTGAAATACCCATGCCAAATACTGAAATCAACAAATGACTAGATTTAAGGCGGTCCTCTAATCACGTGTCAAACACAACTGCTCTTCCGTGTTAAACGCTCACTTGTGCTCTCTTCATGCTCCATGCCCTGAGCTGAGGCACTCTGACCATGGTGCTTCCATTGTTAAAGACATACTCCCTCCGTTCCAAAATAGATGACCTAACTTTGTACTAAAGTTAGTACAAAGTTGGGTCATCTATTTTGGAACTGAGGGAGTACATGTGGGGCTGGTGGTCGTCGTCGACAAGTGACACTGGGTAAACTCTAGCCATGATGCAGCCTCTGCCACCGCCGCCAAAGCTCTCCACTGCCGACCGATCAATCTGCATGGCGGCGTCCATTTTTTAGTTCTGTCACGAAGTGAATAACCGGAGAAATTATTGAAACAAAGCCTCCCAAGTCCCAACTCACCAGAGTTCTGATAGAGACTTTCCTTTCTTTTTCAAGGTCAAGTTCAAAGAAGCCTCCATAGGCTGGTGTGTATAGTCCTGGTCTCAGGGAAGACCTGCGCAAAGAAAATGAGAGAAATTTGTTTTTAGTTTCCTTCCAGACATCAATATATAGATAGACATTTATGGAAATCAAGGCTAACAAAAAATAATGCAAAAAAAACATAAGCACTAACCTTCTTAGGTCAGTGCACATGAGGATCATGTAGTTTTGCTGTGATTTGTAAACCCTGAAGTGCACATCAGTGTGCTCCTCCATGTTGTCGGAGGCCAGAATAACAAGTCCGAATGGCCCTATGCCACCATGAACCGATGCATCAGCTTCCCGGCACTGCTTCGGGGCGTCTAAAAGCCAGGAAGGATCAAAAGGTTCCGCGTCATCGATGGATGTCAGCTCAAAATCTATCTCGACATCAGCCTGTTTTCTCAAGAAAATTATGTGCCTGGTTAGCTACACTTGCTCTAAAAAAATACACAAAACACATAAGCCTAAGAATATATGTGTATATATATTCTGTTGCCAAGAATGTACTATACATATATATAATTAATACTTATCGGAAGACCTTATAACTTTTACTGGCATGACACCTTTTGAAGTAAAAATAAATAAAATTTGGAAGAGCAGGTAAGTATGTTTGTGACCATGAAACTATACCTGCAAAGTGTCAATTCCCTTAATCTCAAATAGGTCTCCCTTGTTCAGCTCTAGTCCTTGATGGTTGATTTCATTTCTTCGAAGGGACTCAATCTCTTCAACTGGCCATTGCAACAACTGCTTGCCGTCGCTGTCTAACCAAATTGTCCTGGGGATTGACTAAATATAATAAAAGTGAGGTTAAAGGTGTTACGCCGATTATGTCAATATCACACAATTACAACCAATTAAGGACATATTTTCTTACATGGATTCCTGCCCAGCCTTTTGCAACATCATCTGAAGAAGTATCTGTCTCGTTGCTCCAAGCCCATATGATCCTCCTTCCATGTTTGGAGTCAAAGAACGATTTTGAAGCATAGAAATTGCCATAGTCGATCCTCAGCCATAGCCGATAGTCATCTATGACAGTATCTGGCACAAAGACATCACGTTTGAGATCATAAACCCCAATCATGTACTTGTCACTGTAATCCATGCCCATTTTGAGGACGTGCTTGGCGCCATTAGGGATTGCTGAAGACATGTCCAGTCCACCGTTACTTCCCGACAATACCGCGAAGAAATCCAGGCACTCCCACATGTCAAAGGACTTGGATGAATACAATGGGTGTTCAACTCTGGTCCAATTCAAGAAGTCTTCACTCTTGTACAGAAGTGCAGTACTGGAGCCGTTCAGATCAGCACCAACTGCTATTCTCCATAGTCCATCTGGTCCGATCCAACCGGTTGTCGGATCCCTGAACTGGCTCGAGTTCAAGCCTGGCATGACCGGTTGGATCACTGGGTTATTGCCTGCTTTGGTCCATTCCCTCAGGTACGGATCAGACTGGTTTTTGGGAAGCGCAATGTTTTGGACCTGATGCTTCTCCATGTTGATGAGACCAGTGTATATGATGGCCG